AAATAAGATCAAAAACAATAATCTAGCCAAAAATCTAAAAATGCCATAAAATTCTTATTTGGGATTTAGGCATACCTCTAGTCCGGTGGACAGCAAAAGGCGTCGTCCACGGTCGCCGGAATCCGCCAATGGGCCGGCCGGAAGTGAGTGGAGAAGCTGCAAACGGAAGAAGAAGGGCAAGAGGTTCTTGAACTCCTCCCTATCTCTCCCTCTCTCTCCACCGTTCGGCCACCACCCCACAAATGCCCCATGCATCCTCCAAATAAAGGGTGGCTGCCTAAATAAACCATATAGGCCTAAGGGCCTTTTCCAATATTCATTCAGAGAAGGTATTTGGCCCAATAGGCTGACCAAATATTATGAGATAGAAAGAGTTCATATGCTTCATGCGAGTTAATAAAACAAGTGTCCATCCTATAATGGTCCGATATTTAACATACATGCATGGATTAATTCACATTAACACAGTTGTCCATAAGATGCTTTAATTAATTACAGAGTGAATTATTATGATTATGGAAGTCCACATAAAAATATTTCAACAGTCTCCCACTTGGACCACAGAATCATACAATAAACATTCACTCATCACAGCATAAGCATCAACTAAGAATCTCACATAATAAACACAAGCCCAAAACAATCATGCATAATAACGTATCGATAGGATACAATCATTATACATAATCAGGCGCTAGAGTTTCATCAAAGCATGCCGACAACTTTAATATATTGATAAAAAAACAATGATAGAGACTAACAACCAGATGTCTCTTTTTAACATGTCACTTTGCCAACTAAAAAATGTGTCAACACAACATCACACATAAAGTGACAGATCCATAAATATGCATGTATTATTTGAGGCATAAGCAATCCTTATCAATAACAACATGTCACACACAAATGGCAGTATACTCCCACTAACTCAATACAACTACAGGCTTCTTACAGTCCCGAGTGGGATGCGTGTTCTTAAAACACCTAATAGGTAAGCCCTTAGTGGAACTGCCAACATGTTGTTTATAGGCCTGTTTTCAATAACAATGAGGCCTTTTACAATTTCTATTCACAAAATAGAATACACTACCATTATGCTTGAGCAAACAATGCTCTTTGTGTTCTAAAGAAATATGCTATTATGGAACTTTCACAACACAGTTTCAACCGGTCCAAAAATGGAGGGAACTACTCCTAGTGCAAAAACAAGGTTCCACAATCACATAACACAAATAGCCTCACAATATGCCAATACTCCGTATCACAGTCAAGGATGCTACGAGTGTCTATTTGACACTTTTCAACAAAGTAGCTCATCCTTTTATCATTTTTGCAGCCTACATAATCGGCGTCACGAGATCTAACTATAACAAAAGTGTTGGTTCACCGATACAAAACTCTCTAGTTCTTCATTCCCAGTTAATTCAGTAATAATAACAACAATCACTCAAGTACCGAATCTGCACGTCAACAACAAACACAATAATAAGACGTGTGCATACTTGAGCATACATGAGGCTGCTAAACACATAAGCATAAGGGACAATTTCATATGATTTCTCTTACTTCACCATAAGGACATTACACCTTTGAGAGTTTGTCACTTCAACTAACAATGCTTACTAGGAAAACAAGAATGCATACTGAACCTGTTCGAAACAAGAATAATATAGGTTCTCTGAGATGACCAGAAAATGCACTTATCCTTGTCACGGAGAATCTACATGCCTAGAACATAAGAGGATTTTTCAAGATTCTCAAACCAAAGTGACTAGGCGACATGCTATTCAT